GGGGGGGGGGGGGGGGGGGGGACTGGCATCATATACAGTAATACACGTAACTATTTACAGCTGTGAGAAGCAAGCTAGATGCATTCCTCTGGTAGTAAAGAATCATGTCTTTAGTTGTGTTTCCAATGTTGCCATGCAGAGTTACTTTACACCAGCAGGCTGGGAAAAAAGACAGATTGAAGGTGGTGGGTATTTCTAGCACTATTTTCTTCTCTTTAGGCAAAGCTGGTTTGCATCAATATTAAGCGCTACCGATACCTTCCCCGCTCTTTTTCCTGTTTGATCTCTGCAGCGAGGCGAGGCTGAGTGCCAAGCACCCACAGGATGACATGTTGTATGCTGTGCATGCCGAGCCAAACTGGAAGTTGGGCGGTAGGCAATGTAGACATAATGTAGGACAGTTACAGCAAGCAGAGTGGCCAAAATTGAGGAAACGACAGATCATTACATTCTGTCATTAATGGCAAGATTTGTGTTAAATTAATGTCTCTCAGCTGCATTTTATGACAGGCTGCATCTCCTCCACAACTACCTGTTTTTAAAAAAAGAACAGTGTGTGTGATAAGAGAGGAAACGACGAGTATCGTGTGAAAAAGGTGAAGAAAAAATTAAAAAAAGGAGTTAAGAGAGGAAAGGGCATGTTAGCAACATTTCACAATAAAGGGAGGCATTCTCTATCTCCCTCCTGTTCTCTTTAAGGTGCCGCCTCATTCACGGGAGCGACCCACGATAGCCAGGATGTAGAGGAAGATGTTGATGATGTCAGTGTAGAGGTTGAGGGCAGCAAAAATGTACTCCTCTGGACTCAGAGCCAGCTTCTTGTTGCCTAACAGAAGCTGAGTGTCCACAGCCAAAAACTGCAGAGAAGAAACAACATTAGTCATTTAAAGAAAATTCTGCACTATTATAGATGACATAAGGATGTATTTTAACAGCTATTGTTTCAGATTGTACAGTAACACCCCACCAAATATAACCGTATACTGTCATAAGCAAAAGACACAATACATATAGACATGTCTCAAATACCTTTAAGCAGCAGAATATTCATTATACATCTTACTAACTAACTTAGTAAAATCCTTCCTCATAATATTATAAACCACTTTTCAGTGTTCTGGCTCCTGATTTACCTGCATAATTATGCATCTATTGACTTCCTGGATCATATTTTATCATCTCAGAGGAACCTGAAGAACGCCCACTTAAGCTTTGAGACAATATGGATGCCACAAAGGTTAGCGTTGGTAACACCATCCGTTCATGTCTTCTTGGCTTTTCCTTTCACTCTTAACACTAAAGTTTATCTGCTCGATCCATTATGTCCATATTCCTTTAGCATGAATATAATAAAGGCCAATCAGACCTTTTCTTCTGTAACAAACGCATCCTATTGCATCTTTGTCCATCTGATTGAATTTTACTTTAGCATAGATATGTCTATGTCTTCAGTTTGCTCATGACACTTCTTTTACCCTCTATATAATAAAATGTTCATATCATTTTAACAGCTGTTTTGGTTTATTTTGACTCTCATGATGCATGGTCAAATATTCAGATATTAATAATGAAGTTAGAGTCCCAGTTTCCTCTAGCTAAGCATGAATCTTTTTCCTACCCGGTTTGGGCTTTACTCTTTAACATTCTGCAGATGTAATTATCCCTTATTGAGCAGAATAAATTCACTGGAAGGTGGAAAACCGTCTGTATGCCAACGGTGCTGACTGTCTAGTAACTGTATCCAGACGACTGGACGCCATTACCGCATAAATATCAAATTACCCCACTGGATAGTTAACTTACAGATTTGACCTTTGATTAAATGAACTGCCTTCGCTCAGATAATGGCATCCAAAGAATCATTACTGATGCACTAAATCTTAGATTTTTTCAACTGAGTGTGAAACTTACGCAGGTGAAGAGCAGGGCCCCCAGAGAGGCATAGACAATGTGCAGGATCCTGTGGCGGATGAAGATGCAGAGGATGGAGAAGAGCAACAGCACAATCAGGCACACAAACAGCACGCCCCGACAGGAAGTGAAGTCATACTTGCTCTGTGGTGAAGGAGAAGAAAAAGATATTGGGGAAAAATATGAGAAATTGAATTCAAATGCAGCCATGAGGCACAGAAAGCTTGTTTTTTATTTGGGTTTGATTTTACACACACCTTTCAAAAAATGTGTTATGGTCTATGGACATAAATGGGATACTGTGTTAAAGCATTTTCAAAAGGTTTTTACTGTTGTTACTGTGAATAAAAGATCCTCACTGTATTTAATAATAGACAGACTCCAGCAGCTATGATTGTAAGATACTGATATTCCTGTGCAAGAGTGTGCCTTCAGTGGGCAGTGTGTAGGATTGACTAGTTGCACACTTCACTGTGAAACAAAATAATCAGAGGAAATTCTCACTTTTGCTCCCCTAACAAATCATTTAACGAAGAACCGGAGGACTGATGTTTGCCTGTGTGTGTGTGTGTCTCATTTAAATGCATTCATTCAAGCAGCTGACCTGTAGTGAGAAGAGGACGACGGTGAAGCAGACCACTGCAGTGATGCCCACGGCCATGATGACAGTCTCTGTGTCATAGAAGCTGGCGATCATGCCCACCATGTAGGAGAGGCTCAGGGTCAGGATGGACTGATGGACACAGAAAACACACACAGCCAAATTAACACACTTCACATGTTAGGCAACAATTTAAAAAAACGCTTTTAAAGGAGCACCTTTTCAGCTGTTCAACATAAGTTCCTATGGTAATGTACCCAGTAACGAGTGAACCACCGTCGTAGAAATAAAAAAAACCCAGGACTAATCCTGAAGTTACCCCAAATCCTGCCTCATAGTAAAGTCTCCAGATCAACCAAAGTGATCCATATCTGCAAGCTAACAGCTGCAGGTGTTATCTTGCCTGTAAATGTTTTGATCTGTTTTATTTCACATGTAAATACTGAACAGTTACCAATATTGAATCACCCTACAGTATAGGCCTTTTAACAGCAGACGTTTGGACCTGTAGGAAAAGAACAGGTGTTGATAATAACATTAACAATGACTCTGCTCTATTTATTGCCTCAGTGAGTCATTAGTGTGTGACATCCAGCCAGCATGCACAGTACCGGCACCCTGAAAGTGAAGCAGCTAAATGAAATTGAGTCACCACTGTATTCATTATTTACACCTGTGCTTTTCCTAATGTGACATGTCACAATGACTGCTGAGAAGAAAGCCTAAAAAAAGCCTGACTGTTGCACTGTGTTTAAATCTACTTATCTGTGTCAATGGGCCAGTGCAGGTGAATTACAGGTTACTAAATTAATGCAATGTCAATATATTCTGCAGCTGATTCACAATAAACTTCCAACTTCACTCCTGGCTTCATGCCTTACATCAAGGATGCAGTAACAGGCCGATGAGGGCCATGATGGTGGAGAGATTTGTCTCAAAAAAACAAGTGAACCATCTACACGGTCTTTATTATAGATTATAGATCAGAACTGGAAATACTGAATATGAAAAATAGGGTTACACCGATTGAGAAGAACGTAACTGAAAGCTGATGCGGTTGTTGATGTTGTTTTTATATTATTTATTTGACCTTGTGTGCACATTGTTATTTACCATGTAAACAGACTTTTACAATGGGTAATCTACAATTTGGTATTAAAGGAAAGGCTCTCACCAGTGCAACCAAGTTCCAGGGGTGCTTGCGGCGAAATTCTCCACAGCAGCTGAGTGTTATCAGAGATACGAAGAAGACTGCATAGGACACGTAGTATGTCCATGGATTACGTCGCACAAATAACTTGGCATCATCGACAAAGGTGAAGACGGCAACAAAGGAGAAAGTGACCAGCAGCTGCACTGTGAGGACCAGGAAGACCTGGCGGGAAACAAGAATGAAGGAATTTTTAGGTGAGGTGACGTTTTGGTGGTATTTCACATTAACTCACACACGGACCCATTGAATCTATCTGACACAGTAAAGGACCTACTTTTCTTATAAAAGCTTGTCGGATGCTCTTGTCCTCAAAACCAGAGTTGGTGAACTCCTCATTGTCGTAGTAAGATGGGGGTCCGTCACCATGGTAACCAGGGCTGCCAGCAGGTCCTGGTGAACAACAAGTTGACAATTAGGGTAAGATAACTAAAAACTAGGTGAAACAGATGTCTGTGGTATTTTGAGCACATCCTGATTGTAGTATTGATCATCTCATTGATTGCCCAGCCGGCTGCGTTAAGTCTGGCCTAAAGTGGAGCCAGCGATGTGTTTGGTTGCTGGATAAAAATGTTCTTCTAGTATTCACAAGAATTGAATGTGTAAATCCATTTACAGAGAAAATCCTTTCCAAACTGGCAAATTTCACATGGAAAACTGAGACAGCTCCATGCATGGAGGAAAGTGGAAACGTTTTGGAAAAGTAATAAATGAACACGACTTTAGCTGAGCTGCACATGGTTCTTGTCAAAGTGAGAACGGAGCATAAACAGAGTCCAATGACATGACTTGCTCACTTGCTACGGTTTGTCGCCTCTGTGACACATCTAATAAAAAATAAGGCGGCATAGAAAGGGAAAAGTCTATTCATGTATGCCTCAATCTTGAGTTTAAACCACTCACCGCTGGGGTCGCCTGGAAAGCCTGGCTGTGTGTGTCCTTGCTGATAAGGCCCCTGAGCGTAGGGTGCCTGTGGGTAGGGCATCTGAGGGTAAGGCATCTGGGGGTAGGGACCAGGGGCAAAACCTGGGCCTGCCTGGGGGAAGCCTGGCTGTCCGTAGCCGGCTGCTGGTGGGTAGGGTCCCCCTGGGGCTTGGCTGTAGTTGGGAGGGGGCATGCCGAAACCTGGCTGAGGGGGCCCATAGACGTTGTTATGAAGTGGGTTGGTCTCACCCATAACAGGGTATCCACTCTTGTCCTGGGACATGGTGTGGGGATAGGCTCACTCCGCAGCTAGACAACTATGAGAAGAAGAGAAGTAGAATTAGGACTAGTTTTCTTTAAAAAAAAACAACAACATTTGTATCCTGGACAAACATACAGTAAACAGGTACAGCAAAAAGAAAAAAATCAACATCTTTATTACATTTCAAAAGTCCCAAAAGGAAGCAGGGAAAATGTAATGACGGTACAGTATCTAGGCCAAACTGGCAAAGACACAAATGCTGCATCTGCCTGATTAAAAAGGTGACAGGCAATCAAACAATGCAGCAGGAGAGTACAGAGGTATAGAGCAGAGCTACAGCTCTTTGCCTTTCTGCTTCACAAACCAAAACCAGCTATCATTTTATTCTGTTTTACTTTCCTTTATTCAGTTGATTGTGATTCTGCTAAATGTGCCTTTTATTCACGCTGAAACAATAAAAGCTAATTTGATTGGTCTTCATGGGGTTGAAGAAAAAAAACAACAGACATTGATGCTGAATCTTCCCCGGCTTAGAGGGCCTTTGGGAGAGAAATCGCAGTTTTGGAAAAGTAGGCTGTGGGGGATGATGGGGAAAGAGAGGAGCCGCCACAGGCCCGTTCTGACTGTTACAACATCTGCAGTAGTGAGAGTATAAGCCTGGGAAGAGACCAGGGCGGTGGTCAGGGGGTGAACAGGACCTGGCAGTAATAAAAGCCTTTAAAGCCTGTCAGGCAGAAATGGGTCAGCGAGATATAAAACCACAGCGTCAGAGAGAAAGAGGAACAACAAACATGAATACAAGCAGAGAGGAGAGGAGAGAAGTTATGTGTCAGGTAGTCGGAAGGAGCATGTGATCTAATGTCAGGAAATAGGTCAAAGGTCAGAGAGTCACCACAAACATCAGATTAGACACTTGCGTCACACTGTGGAGGGGAATTTGATTATCACATTTCAATTTCCAGGCACATTTAAAAGCACACATCTCTGGGAATGCCTGCTGAGGGACGTCCAGTCTGAAACCCTGCGGATTTAAGAAGTGAGCTAAAAGAGACACAAGGGGCGTGACAATAAATGTGTCTTTGGCAGCAACCGCAGTTCCTAGAAAGAGCTGACGGCACAAAAAAAGACAGATAATAATAATAGTGTAATACTTTGCTTTGACACTGTGAATTTAATATGCGCATTTAGACAGAAAGGAAACCACCTCAGCCAAATGACGTTGGCAATTTGACTTGAATTTGTGTCACTCAGAGCTGCAACTGCTCATTATTGTTTATTAATCTGCTGATTGTCTTCACAATGCCTCTACAGGGAAATGAGCTCTGGTTCCAGTTGACGACTCAGGAAAGAAGTCGCTCTGAAATGATTGTGCCATTCTGAAGCTTTCCCAGTAAAAAGGTTCAACCAGAGATCTACTGGATCCTTTGTACTGCAGTGAGAACAAAGCAAATAAATGGTGAATGGTATTTACATAGAGCCTTTCTAGTCTTCCAACCACTCAAAGTGCTTTACACTACATGTCACATTCACTCATTTTCATAAAGAGATAACACTGACAGTCTGCCAACCGCTCATCAGGAACAGAAACGAAGGGCATTTACACACTTTCGCACACCGATACACAGCGTCAGAAGTAATTTGGGGTTCAGTATCGAGGGTACTTCGACATGCAGCAGCAGCAGGAGGAGGATTGAACAGCCACCCAGAGGATTCTTGTGAACGTACAATGGAAACGTACACAAGTAATCACGAGCTACATTCATACCAACATACGCACGTGTTGCCTTGGTAACCACATGTATTATTAATCTGCTTTGCTTCAGGAGGAGACCTGACATACTGCCCACTACCGCAGTGTCCCTCCCCCCCACCAGGCTCCTGCTACAACCCCGGTCAACAAGTTTCTGTGCCATTTACATTTTAATCGTTAATGCTAACGAAGCACATACACACACACACATCACACGGAGCTGCACACTGGAAAAACAGAAATCACGCTGCTACTGAGGTCACATTTACAAGGTTGTTTTCAAATGTGCTTTGCAGATTTCATATAAAGACCTACCGTCCCCGGAGGGAAACTTCTGCTGAGCAGCATGGGAGCCAAAGCCATTCCCCTAATTGCTGACTTCAAAAGAAGAGCTTGAGTCGACAGCAGACTGACTTCACAGTGGTGCATTGGGCCTGCGCTGTTTAAACATACTGTATTTAAACAGTAAAGCTGTGTATACAGTGCATACATATGCAAACGCAAGTAAACGCACTCTCAGTACCTCCACTGCTTCTTCTTTCAAACAACCCATAAAAGAAATGCACAGAGAGATCATCCATTCAGTAGCAGTTTATACAGATAAAAATGAATTAACAGTGAGCGTTACGCAACACGGCTCCATTTCACCACACACACATCCAGACTCCAGTGTGTGTGTGTGTGTGTGTCCTCATGATGCCTGTCTGTCCATCACTAGGGCAGTGCAGTGAGACAGCAGACGAACATGACGAGTGCTGGCTCTGCTTCACACCGACAGTCTCCATTAAGATCATAACAGATTACAATCCCGATCTGAGGAGCCAAATCCCTCCCGGCTCTCGGGACAACAATGGTTGTGTAAAGGGGGGGCGAGCATGCAGCACGCTGAGTGAAGCAGTTTTGTTTATTTGAAAATCCATTTATCTGATAATAAAATGTTTGCAGTGTTAATATTGGTTTTACATTCAAGGATCAGTCTCTTGGTCTGAACTGACAGACTCAATAATTCTGTAACACAACTAAAGGTTTTGTTTGATTGCGTCACACAACATCTGTCAACTGAACGAACCCACGGTTGCTCAGCTGATCATGTGACACACAGTCAAAGCATGTGATCCACTCCCTAACTAATGTCCACGTAACGCATTTAAGTTTGTGACTCAGGAAAGTATTTGCCACAGGGGCTGGGGAATAATAATAAGATCAAATATGAAGTAATCAGCCTATTATTATTCATTTTATTTCCATTTATACTTTATAAAATCTCAGGAAAAAAGTGATTTCCTTGAGCTTAAAGTGAAGTCATCCACTGGCTCATTTTGTCCAACCAACAGTCCGAATTCAAAAATATTCGATTTTACACACACAACAAAGAAAAGCCTCACAATTGGGAAGATGTATTTCGGCATTTTGCTTTAAAAATTACCTAATTGATGATGAAAATAAGAGTTATTTCTCTGTCGAGTTGTTTCAGCTCTACTGTGCCACAGTTATGTAACACATGTGGGCAAACTCTTAAAAAAACCCAACTAATTATATTTACAGCTTGTTCTGAATCATTAGTTAGGACAACATACATTTGTCTGATAACATAATAAGATTAAACCATCAAAGTATGATTTTGCAGCCATCAAATACACAATAACTGAATTATCCACCAGTCTTCATTCATATTTCCAAACTGCAACAAAAGCTGTGGATGATCTTGGAAGTCATGTTTAACAGAAGTGACTTCTCAGTTCTCAGACAGTGTTGTTTAGTGCTGAGTTAATCGGGACTGGTCTGTTTGTACTGTTTTATCTGTGTATGATGGATTACCTCCATACTAAC